GAAATAAAGCAGTTACAACCAAGGGCCATGGTTGATGGGACTATTTCTTTAAGAGACTGGGGTACCGTTCTGGCTGCAGCTTGCCTGTGGTCACCAGGTGACACTTGGGAAGCAGCTCCCTGGTCAGGGACCTCTTGGGCTGGGTTTGGTGGTCAGGCCTGGCATGCCTGCGTGCTCCCTCTCTGCTCTTGGTTCCACTCCTGTGGTCTTCCCTATTCTTCCCACGTTTTGGTCATCCCTGGCCAGGGCCAAGTCTACCCTGCCCTGCTGGCCCTGCTCCCTGGTGCCTTCCCTGGTTACCCCAGGACAACTGAGATACTGAGATGAGGAAAAGGGTGGGAGTGGGAATTGGGCAGCGACTTGCTCCAGGTCCCTCCCACTGGCCCAGCAGGTCTGGCCTGGATCCCTAGTCTCTCTGCAGGCTCTCTGTGCCTTCCGGCCTCTGTCGGTTTCCAGCCAGATCCACGATTCTTTTTAAAAATAGTTCCTGGATTATTTCAATTTACAGTGTTTTATGGCAGCTCCAAGATGTTGGCCTCACTTTATAAACTGAGGGACCCTCGAAATTAACTGGCCCAAGGTCACACAGCTAGAGAACTGAGGGCTAAACCCAGGGCTCAGGGCAAGCTGGTGTTTTCTCCATAGCCGCACTTGCCTCTGGATATCGGGTCTGGGGACACAGTCCCAGAGAGGGGAGAGAGGACCTGGGCACCCGCCGGCAGGGAGGGGCCCGGAGGGGCGCGGGCGGCGGGCCGGGGCGGGGCGGAGGCGGCAGGCGGCGGCGAGCGCTCCGCCACAGTCGGCTGGCGAGCCCTGGGAGCCGGAGGCGCAGCCCAGCCCGGGACGGACCCCGGCGCCCAGCGGGTCTTGGGCTGGGCGCGGGGGCCGGCGGGACTCACCTGCCAGGCCGCGCTGCGGGCACTGGTCCCGCCGCGCCGGGCTCAGGCGCCCGCCGAGCTAGCAGCGAGCGCGCCAACGCGCCGGGGCCGTGGCGCCAGGACAGGCACCGCGCGGGAGGCGGCCGGCGAGGGCTCTGGGCGCGGGCGCAGCGCCCCTTCCCCCGGTGAGTGGCTGCCAGGGACGCGGCGAGCCGGGGGCGCCAACTTCGCCGCCAACTTGGGGCTGGACTCCGGCGCCGCGCGGGCAAGGACGGCGGAGACAGACGCGGGACACCCAGGGAGAGTCCGACAGCGCAGGGAGCCAGGGAGGGGCGACCGGGGGACAGGGACCCTCGGGAACGGGGCCTGGGGTTTGGACCCTGGCGGGCGGGCGGCGAAAAGGCGAGGAAGACAGGCCGAGGAGACAGCGGACGTCAGGGAAGGACGCGGGCCAAGCTCCCAAGACGTTCGTCCCCGGGGTCTCGGAGCCCTCCTCCCCTTCTCCTAGCGTCGCGGTACCTGCGGGCAGTGAGTGGTGCGGGGATATGTCAGTCTGGGCTGCAGAGTCCCCCAACTGTTGCTGCTGGAAGCCTCTGGGGCAAGGAGTCGGGTGGGGGCCGGGACCTGGGGCTGAGACTGGGTTCCACTCGAGTGAGGGGGCTGGAGAGGGTGAGGACCCCAGAGGGTGAAAGGGGCTGTGGCGGCTTCAGGAGCCCATTCCTCTGGTTTCCCCATGTCTATGGGGCACCTGCTGTGGTGGCATCTACCTTCCATTGTGGGACCCTTAACCCCCTGTGATCCCCCTAGGCCCTCCCCTCTCAGCTCTCCCTCTTCTCTGCCCTCAGAGAATCAGAGTGGGCTTCTGATGTGGTGGCATCTTCCAAAAACCAACCCTGATCCCTGGAGGACACAGGCTAGGAGGACTCAAAAAAAAAAGCGGTGGCATAAGAGGGGTCTGGAGAGCCTGAGCCCCGCTGGCTGAGCCCTGGCCGCAGCACCAGGGCACTTTGTTCCCCTGGGGATTGCTCTCAACCAGGATCCCCCGACGCCTGGGAGGGGAAGTCTGAGCTTCCTGATGCCAAAGGCAGTGGGTACCTAAGCCTAGGATGGCAAGGCCAGGACCTGTGAAGGCACGGGCGGGCACCTTGCATCCTGAAAATTCCCAGAGGTGTGTTTGGCTACCCTTCAAAGGTCCTGCTGGGTGAGTGGGCCAGAGGACCCCTGGGCCTGATGCTCAATCCATTTGTCCATCCCGGTTCCCTGCCCTGCTAGCCCAAGGAGACTTAGCACTCAGTCCCCCGGCCCTTGGATGGAGGCCTCATCCTCCATCCTGATCCTGGCCATGGAAAAATCAAGGAAAGGACCTTATTTGAAGAGGGTGCCATCGTACTGGCTCTATTTTGGAACCAGTCCAGTTCCTAAACGAACCAGTGGCTCTGAACCTGTTTCTAAATTGGGAAGAGTAAGAATGTGAAAGGGACAGGTAGGCAGGAAATCGGACTCCTGAGTTCGCTCCGGCCCCAGGGCGCCTTGGCTGGGACCTGTCTCACAGCGCCGTCTCCAGGTCTGCTCGCCACCCCCACGGTGGGGCTTGAGATGGAGACCCAGCCCGGGGCACTGGGCTGGGGACCTTAAGGGCCAGGGACACCCACAAGGGGTAGGGGAGAGGCAGGGGGCGCCGAGTGCGTGGTGCCCAGTTTGGCCGCCAGGAGGCGTGGCGCGGTCCCCGCGCCGGGAGTCACCGCCGGCGCCGCCGCATCGCGAGTGTCCTTGAGCCGCGGGTGACAGTGGCTCTCGCCGCTTGCGCCCCCTCCTCCCGCAGGGGCAGCCTGATGCCACGTTTCCTATGAATTATTTATCGCCGGCCTAAAAATACCCCGAACTTCACAGCCCGAGTGTAAGATTCCTGCCGAGGGGAGGGGGCGGGGTGCCCCCGGGGGCAGAGCGGGATCAGCCGGGAGGGGGCAGTTAGTCTTGGAGCAGCCAGAACTAGGTGCCCCAACAGTGGGGGCAAGATGGAAGGCCAGGCTCTCTCCTGGCTCCTGGGTTCAGATTTTAGCCAGGCAGAAGCGAGCCAGGGAGGGAGGGAGGGAAACCCGACGGCAACGGAGGGGCTTCCCCGCAAGGGCATTGGGTCCAGTGGGCAGGGCCTCTCTAGTGGGAGGAATGAGCACCGCGGATGGGTGGGGCCACCTCCTGGGGCCAGAGCTCCAGGCCTGCGAGAGGGGGAAGCCTTCAGTGTCCGCTGTGTGAGTGTGAGTACGTGAGGGTGTGTGGTGTGTGGGTGTGTGGGCGTGCGTGTGCACATCCTTTTCGGAGAGCCTGTCCGAGGTATGGGGAGCCAGGAGAAGGGCAGGGATCTAGCATGTGGAAGCCTCAGGTAGGTCCCAGAGGACTACCTTTGCCACCCTCTGCCCAGGGTTTTTAGGATACAGTGTTCAGCAAACATTAGTGGCCCTTAAGGAAAGGGGTGAGACCCAGAGTGGGTGGGCAGAGAGTCCCTGAGACAAGCCTCTGCCCTCCAGGAGCCCTCAGTCTACCTGCCGCAGGGCAGGATGGAAGGGCCATTGCAGAGGCCAAGCTCAGAGCTCCCAATCTGGAGAGGACCCAAAGGTTGTGTCTTCTCCCTCCAGGTCCAGAGTCTGATGGATCAAGGAAGGCAGGCACTGGCAGGAGCAAGATTTGGATTGGGCTCTGAAAGACAGTGGAATTTTGTCAGGAAGAGGACACTCCAGCCCAGGGAAGAGCAGGAACCAGGGCCTGGAGATGAGAACTGGGCCACTGGGCTGGCAGAGTTGGGGGCTCCATGAGGGGGAAGACAGTAGGTTGGGGTCAGGGTGTGGGGGACACTGTGCCTGAGACTAAGCTGTTTGGACTTCATTTGTGGGCACCGGGAGGCAGTTGTCCTACTTGAGGAGGGACACAGGGGCCAGAGGAGAGTTTTGGCAGCCCAGTGGCACAGGCAGGTGGGTGGGAGGGAGGTGGAGAGGGGAGGTGGGAGGCTGGGGGAGGAGTGGCTGGGCTAGTGATGGCATGCCACTGGGCATGGCGGCCACCTGGTGAGGAGACTGGAGCCCAAGTCTGCTTGAATCTGTTTGCCCTTTGCTTTGTGGGGCGCAGAGAGTTGCCTGATACCAGCGGTCCCTCATTTGAGACCCTCTGGTTAGAGGCACAACCTCCTTCCACTTCTCCTCTTCTCTGTTCCCCCCAGGAGGACATCTTGGAGAGAGGTTCTGGGGGCAGTGCCCCTTTAGGGTTAGGAGAGGACCTGAACCCTTTCTATAGATCACACTGTCTGAAAGAAATAAATAGGAGCACAGGTGTCATTTTAAAGTTTCTTATAGCCACACTTTTAAAAGTAAAAAAAAGACAGGTGAAATTAATTTTAATAGTGTATTTTGTTTAATTCAATATATCCAAATGTTATTTCAACATGTAATCAATATAAGACCATCAATGAGGTGGCTTTCATTTTTTCCATGTTCTCTTCATATGCAGTGTGTATTTCTCACTGGCAACATGCTGGGTTTGGATGAGAAACATTTCAGTACTCTACAGTTGCCTGGGGCTGGGGATACCGTATTGGCCAACACAAATTGAGGACTGAGAGCTCATTGTTGGGAGGTGGAAGTGGCAGGAGGGTTGAGGCTTCCTGAAAGCAGGCAACCTGTAGGGACTAGAGGCGTGGGCAGAGATGAGCACACTGGCCTTGTTAAGAAACAGAGAGCATGACAGCACGTGTGTGTGTGTGTGTGTGTGTGTGTGTGTGTCCGCGCATGCGCACGTGTGTGTCTGGGGGGCTCCTTCCTTTCCTGTCATCCACCCATTGTCCCTTCCTCTGCCTCTGTCCCCGCCAGCCCCCTCACTAGTTGTCCTTGGTAGATGGGCCACAGATGGTAGAAGTGAGGGGGAAGATGACGCAGGAGGGCAGTTGGCCACCGAGGGTCACTGCTGTGCCTTCTCTGACAGGTCCCCCTGCTCAGAAGAGAGGGGGAGACAGGCTGTGTAGACCCAATCAGAGACCAGGTCGGAAAAACCCTCCCTGCGGTTCCCACTAGATATGGCCAGGAAGGCCCTGGACCTTGGCTAGGGACAAACAGAACCTAAACAGGAGGGGGTGACATGGCAGAGCCAGAGGGTGACAGAGACCTGGTGTGTGGAAAGGGAACAGCCCCAGGGCTGTCCTCGCACGAGAAGACAAGGCCCGTGGGCTCCTCTCGGGAAGGGTTCGCAATAGACAAAACAGCACAGGATGTCCAGGAGCTCCAGCCGAGCGGCCAGCAAGACAAGGAGGTGAACTCGGCATTGGGGTGCGGCGGAGGGCGTGGCAGGGGGGCACTCAACCCTTTAGGATGCCAGGGTCCACTCTGGGATGGTCACTGGAGTCGAGCAGCCGGGAGGCCCTGCGCTGCCGCGGGTGGAATTTATCTTGGTGCCGTGCCAAGGGAGGGGACAGAGCCGGGCAGCTGGCTGGGCCTGTGTCACCTGGGGCGCGTTGGGTGCCCCTGCTCGGGCTCTTGGCAGAGGCTCCTCTCTGCTCGGCCACCTGTGGGCGTGGCTTTCCTGTGATGGCGCTGTTCGCATTGCCTTGGTGGCCGCTGGGTGGCCGTGGCCCCATCCACCTGGCCTCCCCATCCACCTGGCCTCCCCATCCACGTGGCCTCGGCTCTCACCGCCCTGGGTCCGGGCTGAGGCAGGGCTTGGGCGCCCCGAGGGCCGACGCTCCTGCCATTGCTGAGTGGCCCAGGCCCCGGGAGGCCGGCCAGGCCGGTCCTGCGGCTCACCCCGCCTCTCCTGCCCAGGCTGCCCTCTGGAGCCGGCCTCATGGAGCGGATCCAGGCCATCGCCCAGAACGTGTCGGACATCGCGGTGAAGGTGGACCAGATCCTGCGCCACAGCCTGCTCCTGCACAGCAAGGGTGGGTGTCGGGTGTTCACCACGCACCGGGGCTGCGCGTGGGGTGCTCGGGAGGCCTGACCCCTCCCCTGAGCTCACCTGGTTCCTGGGTCCTGCCGGGCTCTCAGCAAGGTGACCCAGGCCCACCCCGCCCCGCCACAGGGCGCCGGGACAGAGGAGGTCCCTGGAGTCCGGCCCCTGGGCTCGGCAGCTCCCAGAGAGGGGGCATCTGGGGAGGGTCCCAGGCCCCTCCACTCCCCCCTACAGGGGCTGCAGGCCTATCCCTGCCCTCCTCCGAAAGGGCAGGGCCGTGCTGTGGGCGCTTGAAGCCTTGCTGCTCCGGGCTCCTCATGGGCTCCGGCCACCTCTTCCAGCAGGCTGGGGGTGGAGGAGGGCAGCTCCTGGGGACCCTGTCAGGCCGCTGAGCTCCTGGCCTTTCAGGCGAGAAAACTCAGGCGGGTGGTGGAGGTGGGCCACCGCTGCCCTGTCCCATCGAAGACCATCCTGTCCCCCCCACCCTTGGCTCCTCCCTGGACCCCTGTCCTCAGCATGCGGACCTCTCCTTACAGTGTCTGAAGGTCGGCGGGACCAGTGCGAGGCGCCCAGTGACCCCAAGTTCCCTGACTGCTCTGGAAAGGTGGAGGTGAGCCCTGGCGCTGAGGGGGGTGGGAGCGCGGCTGGAGGGTGGCCCCGGGGGCTGTCCCAGCCTAGCCCTGGCAGTCTGACCTGGCAGGGCTGTTCACCAGCTAGGGCCTCTCTGCCCAGCCTGCGGCTCCGGCCCAGGCACAGCTGGCTGAAGCTGACCCCAGGGAAACGGTGTCTCTGCTGGACTCGGCATGGCCACCAACCCAGGCTCCCCAGGATGTCCCCCGAGGGGCTCCAGCACTTTCTCCTGGTAAAAGAGCTACTAAATGTGGGCCATCGGCAGCCTAATGCCTAACAGCTGGGAGAAGGAGTGGGACTGGCCGCTCTGTCCCCACCCTCCTGACGGAGGTTACCTATGAAAGTACCCCGGATCCTGGGTGGTTTCTGCTGGGTCAGGTACTGGCGTCCCCAGTTCCCCTGGCCTAGCGTCCCTCCCGCCCCTTCAGGGCCACCTCTGGCTGTGTGCCTGTCCCTGCAGGGAGCCGGTCACGGCTATAAAGCCTCCTCGCTGCTTTGGAGGGTTGGGCGTGGTGTTGCAAACCCCTTCCTGGAGGACCACTGGGGGCGTCCTTCCCTGGACCTTGCCCAGGCCACTTGCCCTGTGACAAGGGCCTGAGGCATGAAGGACAAGGACTTGGCCCCTGCATATCCTGACCCACCTGCTCCCCCAGGGTCTTCCTCTGCTGAGGCCTAGGGGATGGGGGTCCTGGCCCTGCCTCCTCTGGGGACTTTGGTGGCCAGGACAGATGGCCAGGTCTCTGCCCTTCCTTGCTGTGTCTCTAGGGAAGGACACACTTCATGGGCCCCGTCCTGGGAGACCTGGGGTCCCTGGGGGTGTGCACGCAAGGGGAGCCTGCAGGGGCCGGGGCTGGTGACGCCACCTGCTCAGACTTGGCCCCCTCCACAGTGGATGCGTGCCCGCTGGACCTCTGACCCCTGCTACGCCTTCTTCGGGGTGGACGGCACCGAGTGCTCCTTCCTCATCTACCTCAGTGAGGTCGAGTGGTTCTGTCCCCCGCTGCCCTGGAGAAACCAGACGTCGGCTCAGACGGCCCCCAAGCCCCTTCCCAGAGTCCAGGTAGGCCTGGAGGTGGGGGATGTCTCCTAGGCTGGACAGTCTCGGGGCAGTGGGAGAGACCTCAGCCCTGCCCGGGTGGAATCGGGCTGTGTCAGGAGGTGGACTGATGGGAGGTCAGTCAGACAGTGTCCCTCCTAGCCCTGGGGTGCTGCTCAGTGAAGCTGTTTTCAGGGACAGGCAGGGTCCCTGCAGGTGCCCCCTTAAGGGGCGGGGATAAGAGTGATAATAGCTGTCATTTGCTGAGGGCCTTCTGGGTGCAGACACTTTCCTCGTACCTAAATCTCCTGGCCGTCCTTCTGTGCTCGCATCTAACAATGACGAGTCTTAGGCTTAAAGTTAAGGGCTTTAATGCACCTGGTGAAGGGCAGCCCTGCCCCGACTCTGGCCACTGCCCTCACGGCCTCCTCGCAGCGGCCCCCTAGGCAGGGTCCCAGCTGGGAGCTGGGCCGGGACACGCCAGCCTGGCTGGGGGTCCGTGTGGGGGGTGAGAGCCAGCTCCTCGGCTTTGGGGGCTGGTGGGCCCCTTGGAAAGGACAAGAGAAGCCGGAGCAGACCCTAGCCTCACGAGAGGTGACAGTCCCTGTCCCCAGTGTGGCGGGGGCGGGGCTGGCTGCAGGTCGGGGCTGGGAGAGCTGAGGTCGGGACCCACCTCTAGGCAGTGTTCCGGAGCAACCTGTCGCACCTCCTGGAGCTGATGGGCAGTGGGAAGGAGTCCCTGATCTTCATGAAGAAGAGGACCAAGCGGCTCACGGCCCAGTGGGCGACGGCTGTCCAGCGTCTGGCACAGAAGCTGGGGGACGTCTGGAGGGACCAGAAGCAGGTCTGCCATCCTCCCAGGGCTCAGGTGGCGCTCAGGGCCCGCAGCCTCGGGGCAGGCACAGGGCAGACCCTCCGAGCAGCGCAGGGGGCTTCCTTGCACAGGATCCGTAGCGAGGGAGGCGGGGATGGCCGGGCCAGGATGGGTGCAGGAGAGGCCCTTCGCCGTCTGAGTCCCTCTCATTGCCTGAACTGTCTCTTGTCTGTCTTTGCATATGTCTGTCTGGAACATAACTCCTGACATCCCCAATACCTGGCGTGGTGACCTTGGCCTCCCAAAGTGCCCAACCTGGGGACAGTGTCTGCTGCACTGGTCCCCCAGCTGGTGAAGTGGGGGCGGGGGGAGGGCAGAGGTCTGCTGCCCTTCCACTGAACTCTTGCGTCCCGCTGACCCAGATTCTCGTCCACATTGGCTTCCTGACCAAGGAGTCCGGGGACGTCTTCAGCCCGCGGGTGCTGAAGGGCGGGCCTCTGGGGGAGATGGTGCAGTGGGCGGACATCCTGGCTGCTCTCTACATCCTGGGCCACAGCCTGCGGGTCACGGTCTCCCTGAAGGAGCTGCAGAGGTGAGTGCTGGGGACAGCCGCTGCCCTGGGCTGGGGCCAGGAAGGGACCCAGGAGGACCATCCCAGGAGCCACGGCTCCACCACAGGCCCCACGGCCCCCGGATCCTGGGTGGTTCCTGCTCGGTCAGGTACTGGCGTCCCCAGTTCCCCACTGGCCCGCTCATCTGCCCCCTGCTTCCCCTCCCTGCTGACGTCCAGCCACGCGTGGGATGCACCCAGGAAGTGTGTTTGCACAGCACGGTTCTAACGGTGTCCAGTCTCCATCTCTGACCTGTGGTGGGGGGCAGTGTTTGCATTCAGGGCCTGACAATATCGGCTCTCGGGGCTGAGCCTCGTCATGCAGATGGGTCCCTGGTGCCTGCCATTGGTGGGCCGGGCACACCCTGGGGGCTTTCTCTTCTGGAACCAGATTCCTTCCTGGGCCTACTGTGGGGGCTGGGCCACCTGGAGGGTGGGTGCTAGGGTGGCTGGGTGGTGCCCACTCTTCTCCGCTGCTGAGTCTCCGGGGTCCCTCTCCTACCATCTGTCAGAGATGGAGTTCCTGGTGCTTGGGGAGAGGGTGGAGCTAAAGATTGTGAGTGTGAGTGTGTGTGTGTGTGTGCGCGCGCGCGTGCAGCAGAGAGGGAAGACGGAGGTTACCTATGAAAGTACGTGGGATACGTGAGGACACCAGGGATAAGCTGACCTCCTTGGTGTCGCTGTCCTCCTCAAGATGGAGAGGCTCGCGAGGCCGTGGATCCCACCTCCCATTCCTCCGCCTCCCCCAGAGGAAACCCATGGCTTGAATTTTGTGATTATACTTTGCCTTTTTTTTTTCAAAAAGAGTTTTCCCATAGGTGTGTGTCTATAAACGACGTGTGGTTCAGGTTTGGTCTGGTTCTGAGCTGTGTGACAGTGGCACCTACTGTCCTGGCCTCCGAGGCCTGTCTTTTCACCCGTGGTTACGTCGGACTTGTCCGTGCTGTTGCACGTGACTGTTTTCCAGTCATTTCCACTGCTGTGTAATATTCCACGGTGTGACTGTGCCATAATTATTCGTCAGTATTTGCTGTCTGTGAACATTTTTTCTTGCTTTAAAAATCGGTTTGAGCCAGGTGCTGGGGTGCACACATGTAATTCTGGCAACTCTAGAGATGGAGGCAGGAGGATTGCAAGTTTGAGGCCAACCTTGGCAACTTAGCAAAGCCCTGTTTCAAAAATAAAAAATAAAAAGGGCAGGGAATGTGACTCGGTGGTTAAGAGCCGTGGGTTCAATCCCTGGTACCAAAACAACAAAACAAAAAGCCCAAATTGGCTTGAACGGTGTATGCTGCGATGCTCACTCATGTCCATGTCACTTGGGGCACCTGTGTAAGGGTCTCTCAGGTCATTGAAGAGCCCACTCCAGGCTGGGAGCCGCCTGAAAGCCGGTGCTGAACCCACAGTGTGTTCTAGTTCAACCGTCCAAGGACAGATCTGAGAGACAGACCCTTCTATTGAGGCAGTTTCTCTGGGGTCTAGACTTAGATGCACAGTTTCCCCCCTCCAGCGGGGGTTCAGGGTGCATGAAAATTCAACTTTATGAGAATATACCAAACTGGTTTCCATGGTGACTCTGTCACCTGGCAGTCCCACCTGTTGGCCACAGGCCCCGTTCTTCGGGTGATCAGACTTGCTAGGTGAGGGTAGCATGCACGCGATGTCCCGTCCTGGCATTTCCTGACAGCCACGAGCGTCCCGTCCTGGCTCGGCAAGGTGGAAAGGATACAAGAGCAATATAGAGAAATCAACCACAGAACAATTTGAAAATGAAATTTATATTACCTTCACATAAAACAATAATAAATGTAAGTACAATTTCTGTATGCTGAAAACTTACATAAAACATTGGCAACAGAAATAAGGACGACCTACATAAGTGGAGGAAAGTTCCATGTTGATGGATTCCAAGACTCAGTATTGTCAAAATGGTGATTTTTGCAGGCATGGTAGTGACACCTATAATCCCAGGAGGCTGAGGCAGGAGGAAACATGTTGGAGGCCAACCTTTAGCAACACTCTCTCAAAACAAAAAGGGACTGGGGATGTAGCTTGGTGGAAGAGTGCCTCAGGTTTAATTCTTAGTACTGAAGAGGGGGTAAAAATAAAGAAGATAATTTTTACCACATGAATTCATAGACTGAAGCAAACTCAAGATCCCATAGGATTTCTTTGGGGGAAAATTGACAAGTTGACTCCAAGGTTTACAAGAAAATACAAATGACTTGGAATAAGCAAAACAATTTTGAAAAAGAGCAAGATTGGTAGAGTATCATTTTTAAATTCTAAAACTTACTGTGAATATGCAATAATTAATATAGGGCAGTATTGACACAAGGACAGATCGATTAAAAAAAAAAGAATTGAGGATCCAGAAATTCTTATATTTCTGGCCAATTGATTTCTTATTTATTTTTTCTGGTACTGATTGAACTTGGGGGCACTCTACCACTGAGCTACATTCCCATAGTTTTTTTTCATTTTTAATTTGAGATAGGATCTTGCTAAGTTGTTGATGCTGGCCTCTGATCTGCAATCCTTTCTCAGACTTGATAGTTAATGGGATTGCAGGCATGCACCACTGCACCCAGCTTTTTTTTTTTTAAGGTCTCTAATTATTATTATTCTTTGTTTTGTTGTTTTATTTTTTTGCATTGCCAGGTTTGATCCCAGGGCCTTGCACATGCTAGGCAAGCAAACATCCTCAGCCCCTTGTCAATTGATTTCTGACAAACATAGCAAGATAATTCAATGGGGAAAGGATAATCTTTTCAAGAAATTGAATAGTCAATGGATGGGCGTTGTTTGTGGCGCATGCCTATAATCCCAATGGCTCTAGAGGCTGAGACAGGAGGATCTTGAGTTCAAAGCCAATTTCAGCAATAGTGAGGCGCTAAGCAACTCAGTGAGACCCTGTCTCTAAATAAAATACAAAATAGGGCTGAGGATACAGCTCAGTAGTTGAATGCCTCTGTGTTCAATCCCTGGTACCCGCTCTGCCACAAAAAAAGAAATTGAATATTTACATGCAAAAGAATAAACCTAGACCCTTACCTTACACCGAAGTACATAAATACCAAAGCAAAGTAGGTCATAGTCATCATGGTAAAAGCTGAAACCATAAAGCCACTATGTGAGAAAATGGAAGAAAATCTTTCACCCAGGTTGGGTAGAGTTTTAGGTATGACACCAAAGGCATGATGCTTTAAAAAAAAAATGGATGAATTGGATCTCATCAAAATTAAAAACTTTTATTTCAAGAGCCAGAATTCAGATAAATGTAAACACAAGGCACAGATTAGATTAGATTAGAAAATACTGCAGATTGTTTGCCTGACGAAAGGCAAAATTTGTATCCAAAATATATAGAGAACTCTTATAACTGATTAATAGTAAGAAAACCCAGGTGGGTGCAGTGGCTCATACCTGTAATCCCAGTGGCTCTGGAGGCTGAGGCAGGAGAATTGCAGGTTCAAAGCCAACCTCAGCAAAAGTGAGGCGCTAAGTGACTCAGTGAGACCCTGTCTGTAAGTAAAATTTAAAAAATAGGGCTGGGGATGTGTCTCAGTGCTCGAGTGCCCCCCGAGTTATTATAAGTGCCTCTAAATTATTAGAAAAAACTTATAAGAAGAAAAACCAATTTTAAAATAGGCAAAAATTTTGATTTCACCAAAGAAGGTATATGAATGTCTAAGAGTGTTACAGGCCACGCTATATGGGCAATGACGTATAGCCAAACAGTTGCCAAACAGATTCATGTAAGAAATGCTTCTCCCATGGGAACACTCCCCCTCTGTGCCTATCAATAGTTGCTTAGCATAGCATGTTTGGCAACACAAAATGGTAATTCTTTTTTTTTTTTTTAAGAATTATTTTTTAACATTTAGTTTTTAGTTTTCGGCAGACACAACATCTTTGTTTGTATGTGGTGCTGAGGATCGAACCCGGGCCGCACGCATGCCAGGCGAGCGCGCTACCGCTTGAGCCACATCCCCAGCCCAAAATGGTAATTCTTACGCAATGTAAAATTGTTCTCTTTGGTTCCCATTTTTCTTGAGCAGTGTACTCTGTCAGCGATTGATCGTTTAGATGTTAGTAACCATTCTCTAACTTGTACTCAATTAGGGTCATTTTGACCCACTTCCCTTCTGCTTGCTTGCTGCTATGCCAACCTGGAAAGTCCCCGGGGAAATCCCAATGTACCCACTGCACTGTTTGGCTAACTGCTCAATTCAGCTCTGTGCCTCTGCTTGCGGATGTGGGCCACCCGGCTAAATAAAGACTCCAATTCAAACAAAATGGACTTGGTATGTTCTCTGAACGGTCTGCCCCATAACAAGAGGACATGAAAAGACGCTTGTGGTTGTACATGTTGTGAACATAGCATGGTTGGGTATTCAAATTGGTGCAACCACTTTGGAAAGCAGTAAGGAGATTCCTTAGAAAACTTACAATGGAAGCACCATTTGATCCAGTCATCCCACTCCTCGGTCTATACCCAAAGGACTTAAAATCAGATCCTACAGTGATGTAGCCACATGAATGTTTATAGCAGCTCAATTCACAATAGCCAAGCTATGGAACCAACCTAGGTGCCCTTCAATAGATGAATGGATAAAGAAAATGTGGTACATATACACAATGGGATATTACTCAGCCATAAAGAAAAATGAAATTATGGCATTTGCCAGCAAATGGCTGGAACTAGAGAATATTATGCTAAGTGAAATTAGCCAGTCTCCCAAAGCCAAAGGCTGAATATTCTCTCTGATATGTGGATGCTAATTCACAACAAGGGAGGGTGGGGAGGAGAAGAAGAGAAGTTCACTGGACTAGACAAAGGGGAATGAAGGGAAAGGAGGGGGAGGGGAATAGGAAGGACAAGAGAATTATTTAGAAATAAAGATTTCAAAGCTTAGTTTTTAGAAGTGAGCTTCAATATCAGGACCAGATTGACAGCTGGGGTGTTCTGGGATTCTGTGCCCAGAGCTGCTGGACCTCTGCCTGCTCAGGGCCCTATCTGGTGCTTGGGAGCAGAGTAGGAGTAGCCTATACCTGGTGTCCATAGGCTGAGACTGAAAGACAGTCAAATCCTGAGAAAAGCAACCCAAACCTGCTTTCTTCCTCAACCCTCTGCCTGCATTTTGGTCAAGGAGGTTACACAGCATGTCCAATGGCTCTA